ATCCAAACTTTACAAGTACGTTTATATTAAACTAACCTTTTTAAAAAATAAACTAAACTAATTATATTAAATCTGTAAAATTAAATGTCTTTTTTTAAAACCCTGAAACAGTTTAATGTATTCTTTTTTCTTCCATCCATGATTGCCTGATCCATGAGCGATGACTTTCTAAATCAATACAAAGATTATATATAAAATAATAAATATTTTATAGTATATTAATTTGTTGTAATATTATTAATGTTGTGGATAAAGTTTTTCTCTAGTCTAGTCTTATGATTGGATTGGACTGTGAATGCATTAAAATGATATAAGTCATTTATTTTTTATTTTGATCATTCATGATTTTTTTTTTTTAATTTGATAGATGTAATTAAATAATTTTAATATATTTATTTTGAAAAAAATTAAAATCATACTTTACTTAACATTATTTACCACCTGATACATAAATATAATTAGTGTCATAGTGTTATTAATTATTATTTCTTATAAACAAACATTATAGCGTTATAGTTAACGGGGCTGTTGGGGCCCAAAACTGTGGACTGGTCGATCAAGTAAAAAGCCCAATTGAAAATACGTTTCTCCTCAATCCGTGTATTTTTGTTACCTCTCGTCCTGCAGAAATTATCGCAGCAAAATCACGTCCCCATTGTTCATCCAATAAGCGAATATCATTTGTCGCCATGTAATTTTTAATTTGGATGAGACTATGCTACACCTTTTTCAAAAAATTGTGTATATGTGTTGTGGAGTAGATGGGAAAAAGAAAACTAGGGGCAGGTGTCTCAGTTTTTTTATGTTTAAGTGGGTTTGGGATCATGTGTGCGTGGTGGGTGTGATGATGGGTGAAACTAATGTTCTAAAAATCGGAGAGGTGAGTAAATTGAAAAAAGGTTGGATAGATGGCTCACTAGTTTAATTGTCAAATTGAATTAGAATTAAATTGTAATGTCATAAATATATTAAAATTATATTTAAATAAAAATATAAGTAATAAAATTATAAATTAAAAAATTAAATAATCTTAAATATTTTTCCTAATACTTTTTTTACTAAAAAATATAAAAATATATTTGAAAATATTATTAATTTTAATTTTAAAAGAAGAAATCAAATATTCAATATTCTCTCTATATAATTTTAATTCAAATAATTTGATTGAAAGAATAACAAAAATTTTGGAGAGATATCAAAATTTTAAGTTTCCCTCCAATAAATTTAATTGAATCTCACATAGATTTCTTGAGTTTTTATGGAATTCCTCACAAGAGAAGACCTTTAAAAGAGAGTTTTCAATTAAAATTTTCTTATATATATATAATATAAAACAAGAAAGAAAGAAAGAGTAAAAAAAAACAAAAAATAAAAACAAAAAATTGATTTTATTGACTCGGTGAATTGTCACGGGGTTGACCGGTTCGACGGTTTAACTGTCAGTTTTTTCGATTCTCTCAAAATAAATTAATTTTTTACTTTAAACGGTTTAGTGAGTGTATTCAGACTAAAACTCTGACCGATCGATAGTTTAACCAATCGAACTAACTGGTCCGATCCGATTTTTAAAACTTAGGGCGAAATACTTGTGCCCAAAAAAAAAAACTGAAAAAGAGAGAGAGAGAGATTATTAAAATACCTCTTGCATACACGTTTTTTTGGTTTGGTGCAACTTGGCATCACAATTCACTTTCAGGTTCAGTGAATCTTTGGTGCTCGTGAATAATTGTCTTATGAGTAATTTTTTTATACGGATAAAGTATATATTATGTGATATTTTATATTATTGTGATTAGTTTTAGTAGTAAGATCAATTATATTTAATTTATGTTTGTTGGGTCTATCCCACATCGACTCGGGAGGGACTCCTTGTCTACCTTATAAGCGTGCTGTCCCCCTCCACTTGGGGGAAAAGGCGAGAGGGGAAAAGGCCCGTTGACAGCTGGAGGGGGCCAGTACGCTTATAAGGTAGACGAGGAGTCCCTCCCGAGTCGATGTGGGATAGACCCAACGATGTTAGATATTTAAAAAATAATAAAAAAATATATACATTTATAATTAGTGAAAGACACTATTGCATAATACCATATTGAGATATAAAAATTTCTCTCGCCTTATCTCTTTAACACCTCAAGCTTATTGGCTTATCCTTCTCTTTAAATCTTTGGTGCTCATGAGTAATTGGTCTCCCTCATTCAGGCACTGTGATCTTTGATGTGAGAGATCCACAAAATCAACTTCCAAAATCATTTTAGCTAAAGCTATTTAAAATGATCTATTTCTTTAAAACTATACCCACCCCAATTAAAAGTACATGACAAAATGGTTACTTTAACAATTAATAATTCGTCAATTAAAAAAAATAATTTAAAGTGCCTGATAAAAGGACACTTGAAAGTCATATATCATATATTTCCCATTGGATAAAATTATCCACTAACTATGATATGATCCCACTCCTTCCAAGTAGCATTGAAGAAATCTTCCTCTTCCGCTTTTATTGTCTTTTTTAGGCCTCCGTTTGGGAAGTGGGTTGGCTTTTTGACTTTTTTAGCTATTTTAGCCTGGGCTTAAAAGTTTAGTTTGGGAAGGGCTTTTTAGCTTTTTGACTTTTTTGAGTTTTTTGTGAGAGAAGAATGTAATAATTATGGGTTGGATGTGATGTTTTGTTTGTTATGACTAAAATAGCCTATTTTGTTTTTTGTGACTAAAATAGCTAAAAAAATCTGCAAACCAACTTGCCAAACACAGGCCTAGGTGTTTTCCATTGTTTACTATGATGCAAAATTTTAACAACTATGCAACAGATAGGATTCAGGAGATGTGAGGTTATTTTAAGATTAGTGCAGAATATATTATTTAGATGTCAATGTACCTTCCACTATTCTATCAAATAAACTAATATTAAAAGATAATGCCTGCGTTTGGTTGTGTTTTGTAAATGTGATTTGAGAGTATGAGTTTTATTTTGAGTTTGTTTGTTGTAGAATTATGATTTGAGTGTAGAAAATTTGTTTGGTAAAGAGTTTTGAAAATAGTTTTGGAAAAAAGGTTTGATTTGAGTGGGGAGTTGTTGATGTGACATTTGATATGTGATACAAAAATTTACAACTCATAACTAAACATACAACTCAAAATTATTTTAAAACACATAAAAAATTTAAAAAAATTCAGAAAATATTTTTCCCGAGTATGTAAATCAATTGCCAAAAAAAAAAAAAAAATTGGAATTCAGAGGACATCCGGGTGGACGTCCCCAAGGACATCCGGGTGGACATCCGGGTGGACTTCCTCAGGCAAAATTTTGACAAAAAAACGCGGCCTGTGCATCAGAGTTCTCTGCAGAGAGTGTGGAAAATTGATTTCAAAACCATAACCAAACATCATACTCAAACACACGTGTAGAAAATTGATTACAAATCACAACCAAACAGAGCCAATAATTCTTGCAACTAAATCTCCAGCTAACCAGTCTACATTCCATTATGAGTAGTACTAATCAAATTTAAAAATTACACATACCGTTTAAATTTAATGATGTTATAGTTTATTAAAATATTTAAAGTAATATTTTTTAAAAAACTATATTCTGTAATTATTAGTTAACTATTTTTTTTTTTTATAGATCTGTTAGTAAAAATTATACTAAGTCTTGATCGATAGAGACTTAACAATAATTTTAACCAAACAACCAAATAGAAAATTAGACGACTGTGTTAAGGTTCTAATGCCTTGAAAGTATAAGGATTTTTTTGAAACAATTCATAATCGAATGAGTGAGGTAAACACAGAAAAACTTCTATTAAAATCTTTTAAGTTTACAAGATTACAAACTGTTAAAAGTCACTCTTAAAAATTAAGATAATCTACTCATAAGAATGAATGTAGACTACTCCTAAACATAAAGAAAATAAAAATTATGATAAATTTGATAATTTATTGATCCCTTCTCCAATTTGTCTTCAATCTATTTATAGATTAACAATTGACAGTTTCTCATTTGAAGTATAACTGCTGGAGGTAGTTTGGCCACCTCACGAAACAAAATCAAACCCACGTTTCTTATAAAATGCTAAAATTGCCACACGTTGCCAACTTGCCACTATTTTCCAATCCCATTTCCATCACCCGTAAACAATAACAAAACAAATAATAATAATAACAATTATGATGATGAGGTCACAGTAGGTCTTAAAAAATAATTTATGATCTGAATTGACAGATCAAAATCAGTAAGTCACAATTAATAAGATTAGATTTGACTATGACCGACAGGTCACAATTGACAAGTCATAATCAATCAAATTATATTTGGCTACAATCAATAAGTCACAATCAATAAGATTAGATTTGGCCACAATCAATAGAAAAATATTTATGGTGCAAACAATTCTTGAAAAGTTATATGTAAAATTAGGATTATTTTGAAAAGTGAATTAAAAATCACTTTTCAACTTCTAACATACTTCCCTTCCTAAACAAAAATCAAAAAAAAAATTTTAACCATCTTTTCAAAACACTCCTATTTTAACCTCGACCTGTTTACTAAATAGACATATATAAAATATATGTTGTGAGACATGTATAAACCGCTTTTCAATAATAACAATTATATTCTTTGGCCTTATATTTAGTTGTCTTTTTTTTAAACCCCTGAAATAGTTTAATGTATTCTTTTTTTCTTCCATCCATGATTGCTTGATCCATGAGCGATGACTTTCTAAATCAATACAAAGATTATGTATCAAATAATAAATATTTTATAGTATATTAATTTGTTGTAATATTATTAATGTTATGAATAAAGTTCTATTTTTTTTCGATGAATAAAAAACATGTCCAAAAGCGATCTCAAATATTTTTTTTCTATTAAATTGAATTTTTTTAAATCTTTCATCAAATTAAAAGTTATTGAGAATATAAATTTTTTAATAAAAGAATTGAATTAGTTTATATCAAAATTTAAAATTAGAACTAAAAATAAGATGAAAAAAAAAAAATTGACAAGAATTGAAGATGGTCCAATAGATCAAAAACATCTGTCAAGTATATTTACATTTGAGCATCTGTTTTGCTACATTCAGATCTGAATCAAAATTCAAAATAATTTGTGAGCTGAGTTCGTTGTAGGGGGTTAGATGATCAGTTGGGACCCCAACAGCTCAAGCACATGACTTTTCTGAGAGACTCCTCCGATTGCTGCTTCTTGGCCCTGTCTTCCCTCATCGCCGTGCTCGCAACCTTGGCCGAAGACGATGAAGAAAGCTTATTTCCCTGAGAGAAGGATCTGAGATTTGTCTTGGCGTGGTGGTGAATTGATCTGATGGTGTAGTTCCACCTACAGATCCCCTGATCTTTCAAAGCCTCCACAGCTCCTACGCTCGCTGCCGCAACCCAAGCTCTGCTAGTTGAACTCATGTCTTCTGTTAAAACCTACCACTACCACCTACTACACACCTATACCACTACCACCTACTACCACTTACTCCACCTACTACCCCTTACTCCACCTACTCTACTCTTTTATATATAGACATCATTGTAAACATATTCAATATCAATCAATAATATTACAATGATGCCTATATATAGAAGAGAAGAATAGGTGTAATAGGTGGAGTAGGTGGTAGTGGTACAGGTATTCAGTAGGTTTTAACATCTTCTTGTTTCTTGAAGATCGTTCTAGAATTTAGTAGATGCAAATCACAAGTAGAGAGAGATCGGTATGTATGGTGTAAAAGTGTTGTCTAGAAGAGAGAGATATATAGAAATGATGTGATGTCAAACAAGATGGGAAAAAGAAAACAGGGGGCAGGTGTCTCTGTTTTTTCATGTTTAAGTGGTATATTTAGTTTTTGTTTTAAAAAAAAAAAAAAAAAACATATGGGGAAATTAGTGGGTACCCATCCCCAACCCATCCCCCGTGGATATTTAAAGAATATCACCTACCCTACCCAATGGATAAGAAAAAGAGGGGAAACACATGTATTTGGGTTGGATCTCCATGGATACCCACAGGGTAGGTTATCCATTGCCATCCCTAAGTGGGTTTGGGAAACTCTTGCGCCCACAGTCCTCTTGTTAAATTGTCATTTTCAGCCCCGAGTTTGGGTGGAAGACAACCAGTTGTTTTAACTTGTTGCCTTCTGTGTGGGTTAGGTGTTATGTGTGATTATTTTTTATTGAAAATTTTACTTATCATCGAATTTATTTTAAATTTTATTCCACTTTTTACGGAAAAATATAATACTCATTTTGTTTAGTTTTGATTCATTTTTTTAACAATTAATTTTTTTTTATTTTTAATTAATTTTTTTAATATTTTAAGTAAATTTTATACTTCAAAGATACACTTAATGCAAATACAATTAAAAAGTATAATATTTGTAAAAAAAAATTAAAAAATTCACTAAATGTCAAAAATACAAAAAAATAAAAATAAAAATTCAGTACATTTTTTTATTCTTGTGTATTCGTTGTCAACCTGTCTAATCTCAATTTCATATTTTTTTAATTTTAAAAAAATAATAAACTATTCATATGTCTCGCATAATTTTAGAATTAAAAACTAAAAATATAAAATATCTTCAAACCCATCTCTTCTGGTCATTACTTAAAAGATGATCATTTTTTTAAATCAAATATAGAAACACGGTTTGTTGACCTTTCAATTTATTTATCCATCTTCTAAAATCTCTACTTAAAATCATTCATTCTTTAAAATAAATTAAACAAAAATCAATTCAAATCGGTTTAAATCATTTTGTTTGATTGATTTAGTTTCTTTATAATTAATATGAAAAACTGACTTAATTGTTTCCCTATAAATAAATTAAATAAATTGATTTGGTTGTTTCTCACACTAGATTTGTGAATTTTTAAGTTTAAAAAATAATTTTAAAAAAAAATCGTGATTTATGATTTAGAAAAGGAAAAATGAAGAAAATCCTTTTTGTGCACTCTTTCTCTAACCATTTCTTTCTCCTATCCCAAAACCCTAGTTGTCATACATTATACTTTCTCCAAGTCATTTGCGTCCCCTTCATCCTATAAAATATTACATTCATGTAATGATGCAATTCATTATTTTTTCTCTATTTTTATGAGACAATTGGAGGTTAGTTATTAGAGAAAATTAGTGATAAATCTAATTTAGAGAGTGCTTAAGACATTAGGTCCAATAGATATTTTTTATTAGTAAAATGTCCACCTTTTGTGAAAATAGTTTAGTGAAAAGTACTTCTATTGATTTTGAAAGATATTTTGTTTCTAATTTTACCAATTAACTTTTTTTTATTTGTTAACTTTCGTTGATTATCTGTTTAATTTTTTTTTCTATTTGTTCAATCTGTTAACTTTCGTTGATTATCTGTTCAATTTTTCTTCTATTTGTTCAAAAAAATTCTATATCTATTCAAATTTTTTTCTATCTGTTCAAAATTTTGTTATCTATTCAAATTTATGTCTATTTGTTCAATTTTTTAACTATTTGTTGAAATATCTTTTTATCTATTGAATTATTATAATATATTTTTTCTATCTGTTCAAATAGATCAAAGAACATATCAAAGAACAAAGCACAAATTGAACATTTTCTTATCTGTTGAATTTTTTTCAACTTATTTTTTTCTATCTGTTGAACATTTTCTTATCTATTGAACATACACAGAAATAAGGACATGTTTTTGGACTGAATCAAAAAAATTATCTGTTCATTTTTTCCACAGATCGATTTGCTTGGTTGCTAAGAAAATTTGAAAAAAATAAATGCAAAAGTGTTTTGAAAGGGTCATGTTTATATTTAAAGAACTGAGCATGCTTATGCCAACTTTTATTTCCAATTTTTCCTTTCGTAATTGCTAATCCAAAAAAACTAAAAATAGATTTTTTTTCATATTCAGATTCATTTAAAATTGTAAACATGAATAACGGATTGAAGGTTCCCTAGTCGCAACCAAACCACGAACACCCCTATCTAGTACTGATAGTCTCTCTCTCTCTCTACACAAAGGACATGAAATGGGCCTACCACCTATGGATGTCACGTGCTAGGGTGTGGACTTCCACATTATTCTCGCTCCCCATTTTTTAGTTTATTGGTTTTTAAAAAAAAATTATAAAAAAATAAAGATATGATATAATTTAAATAAGTAAATAAATTAATAAATTGACTTTTTTTTAGTTGTTAAAATAAACCTAAATTATCCTATTTTTTCAAAAATTCTATGTATATATCGAATCAATGCTAGAGACTTAAACTTGTGTTTGATTTAAAGATTTGAAGAGCAAAATGAAAAAAGATAGTGAAATATGTCTAAAATATAATTACACTTCACTTAGTTTTACACATCTTTTTTTATTTTTCTTTCTAAATTTATCTTTAAATTCTTGAACCAAACACAACCTAAGTGAATAAAATATAAATTATTATTAAATAGAACAGTATGGCTACATTCACCAAATTTATTTAGCTTAAATTTATCCGAAGAGACTCGCGCACGGGAGCTTTTTCCCAAAAAAAGATTTATTCATGCGAATCCAGACTAAATAAATTCGATAGATGAATCATTAATCAAAATAGAAACACAAATCTTTAAAGATCCAAACTTATTAAATAATTTTTACCTGTTGAGAGTTATGAAAAAGATTTTATACAAAAAAAGAGTAATGATGCTTATCATTACTAATAACACTTCCAATACTCTTAATCGTCCACAAAATTTTTCGAGATCGATGGACTAGAGGCAAAAGAAGTAGTTGTTTGAAGCGGTGGAGTCAGAAAATTAAGTTAGAGGGGGCATTTAGTAATTATAACTTTTTATTTTAAAAAAAAATTATGAGCAACATTAAGATAATAATCATTTTATGAGATAAATTTAAATATAAAAAAATTACATATTCATTATTAATAAGAACAAATCAAAATTCTATAATAGTGTGGAATAACTCGGTGTGAGATGATGATTTAAGTTTACAATTTTAGCACAAAAAATTATGGATCAAAATTCCTAATTTTAAAAAATAAAAACACATCATTTATAGCACAAATTATTATAAAATCTATTTAATTTTTATTTAATAGAAAAATATTAAAAAGATGACATTGTTTATAAATGATGTGTTTTGAATGAAAATTATTAAAAAATCTTAGAGTATTATATGACGTCACGTACGTGATGCTCAAAGTTTAGAAAATCACAAATCACACTAAGTGGTATCTCAACTACTTGAAAATAATGAGTTCATTATATCTAATCTATAATATTTTTCACTACACTATTGATTTAAACTACTATAAAAATAATATCACATAATGTTCCTAAAGTATTAAGAAATTACTTGTTATGAACAATATAATAAATCATTAGCGATAGAACATGTTAAGAAAAAAAAAAATACATTGTATACACAAAAAAAAAAAAAAAAAAATTATAAAACTTAGGAAGGGGGAGGGGGGACGTGACTATCCTCGGCCTATGCTGCCTCCACCCATGGTTGTTTGCCGAAGGTAAAAAAAAAAAAAAAAAAAAAAAAACTGGAAGAAACCAGCAACTTTTTAAATTGAAAACCAGAGAGAGAGATACCTCTTGTTTACAGTTTTTTGTGGTTTGGTGCAACTTCGCATCACAATTCACTTTCAGGTTCAGTGAATCTTTGGTGCTCATGAAATTAATTGTCTAATAAGTAATTTTTATATGTGGATAAGATATATGTTATGTACTATCTTATATTATTGTGATTGGTTTTAATAATAAACTCTATTACATTTATGTTAGATGTTTAAAAAACAATTAAAGATATATATATTTGTAAATGGTGAAAGATATTACCACGTAATATCTTATTGACATGAAAATTTTTTTCTCCTCTTGTCCTTCTCTTTAACACCTCAAGCTTATTGGCTTATCTTTCTCTTTGAATCTTCGGTGCTCATGAGAAATTGGTCTCCCTCGTTCAGGCACTGTGATCTTTGAGGTGAGAGATCCACAAAATCAACTTCCAAAAGCATTTTAGCTAAAGCTATCTAAAATGATCTATTTCTTTAAAACTATACCCACCCCAATTAAAGTACATGATAAAATGATTACTTTAACAATTAATAATTCGTCAATTAAAAAAAAAATTAAAAGTACATTATAAAAGGACACCTAAAAGTCATATATCATATATTTTCCATTGGATAAAATTATCCACTGAACTATGATATGATCCCACTCCTTCCAAGTAGCATAGACGAAATCTTCCTCTTATTGTCTTTTTTTGGTGTTTTCCATTGTTTACTATGATGCAAAATTTTAACAACCATGCAACAGATAGGATTCAGGAGACATGAGGTTATTTTAAGATTAGTGCAGAATATAATCGTATCTAGATGTCAATCTAGCTTCCACTATTCTATCAAATAAACGAATATTAAAAGATCATTATTCTTGCAACTAAAATCTCCAGCTAACCAGTCTACATTTCATTATGAGTAGTACTACTCAAATTTAAAAATTACAGTTACTGTTTAAATTTAATGATGTTATAGTTTATTAAAATATTTAAAATAATTTTTTTTATCATTATTATATATTCTCTAATTATTAGTTAATCATTTTTTTTTACAGATCTGTTAGTAAAAATTATGCTAAGTCTTTATCGATAGAGACTTAATAACAATTTTAACCAAACAACCAAACAGAAAATTAGACGACTGTGTAAAGGTTCTAATGCCTTGAAAGTACAAGGACATTTTTGAAGCAATTAACAATCGAAGCA